AAATGCCATTGTAAATGTTGTAATTAATTTATGATTGGAAAAGTTTTGTTTAATTATTTATTTTATTAATTATAAGCTTTACAAAAGTATATAATGTTGTAATTAATTTATGTGAAAAGTTTTATTTAATTATTAATTATAATAATAATGTTTGTTTTTGTACGCTGACTGTACTGCTAGCTTGACGTCGGATATCCGACACTCGTAGCTTTAATATGCAGCCCTGATTGGTCTTACTATTGCACAATTCAATCCTAAATAAACGCAATCCCGCCATAATTAGCAATGGCATTGATGAATTCATGATCCGCCATTTTGAATTCTGCGTACAGCTTAATTAAAAAATGTGTTTATGAGAATTCTATTCGATTGGCGTTTTAAAAATCGAACATTCGGTTGTTGGCTACAGAGGTATTTTATCTCAGGTAAAGGCAAGCTGGCAGGACGCCGAAATTCGAATCATTCATCTTTTAATCTGACATGTTCTATTGTAGTCAGACGGCGGTATGGGTATGGTGGGAGGCCGAGTTTTGTATCTGTGACTATTTATTATGTAAGTGTACAGGTACCTATCTATAGTCGTACGTTCTTGTTCAAGGTTACGTACCCAGAAAACTCACATATAAAATTGATTTATCGATATCCATATAACCAGGCAAACAGATATCGTTAAGATATTTTTTTTAATGCAATATTAGTGGATATTAGTAGTATAGATCTTATAATGGCAATCTTTGATATGTATATTCAAATATAAAAAATAAAAGTAAAATTAATTAGATGTAATAGATAAAAATTATTCAGTATAGAAACAAATTTTATAATATTAGATATATAATTTTTTTATGATGTTAATAATATTGGCCGTGTGATCCCAGCATAAAATAGGCTATCCATTCCTTTTCACTATATTTTCATTCCAGTGGAATTGTTTTCCATTATATAAACTGAGGACGATGGTGAGTAGAGAACATTATTTCTGTAATTTATATAAATTTTAACTTAATTTATGTTAACTACTTGAATGTTCCATCTTATTTTTTTAATACTAGATAAAACAATAAAAATTGTGTGGTTCTTGGCACTTATATAACAAACACACTATAATTATGTAACAAATATGCCTCATTAGGTTCTTATTCATTACTAAATTAAACCAATAACATTTGCTTTGTTAGGTGCATTAGGTTAAATGATATTCATATGAATTGTGAGTTGAACTGGTTTTCTAGCTCCTTAGTTTCCATTGTGATAAGTACAATCATGCAGTAAAGACTATTTTATAACGGTTATTGTTAACTTGCTTAAATGGAATAATTTTATTATGAGATTAAATTAAGAAAGATTGATATTACTGCAAAAATAATTGTAATGCATAGAACCCAATTATTTTTATAATATAAAGTTAAATGGGTTTAATAGTCTATTAATGTTTTAGACGTATTAGGTATAATTTCGACAAGATTCTTTTACTAAAATTATAATAATTCTATAATTAAAAAATATAACATACCTTAAGACATTTCCGAGGTCATTAGATAAACAGTGACAATGTGCTTCTTTTTTATAAACGACAATATCTTTGTAGGTTTATAATAGCTTTTAGACTTATATTTTAGGAGTTAGTAACAGAAAATTGACAATGAAGCATTATTTTCTTTATTATTTTTAACAGTTATCTATGAGGTTTTTTCTTCGAAGATTCTTCCAGTTGCTATGAACCGTAATGCTATATTATATAAATAAATGGATAGAATCCCTTAACATTTATTAGTAGTAGTTGGGATAATATAATGGTACTACCATTATATTAGCCCAAGTAGTTGGGAGTAATAATTGGGATAAGGAAAGGAAGATGATGATGATTAGTAAATAGTAGTGGTAGAGTAGTATTATCACCATCCAGTGCCTGAATAAGAAAATATAACCACTTTTTTCATCCCAAGAATCCCAAGAACTTCCAAGGCATAATGCACTAATACAAGAAAAGAAATACTTTAAATATCCCTATATCAAACCACCTAACTAAGTAATGGCATATAAAAAGTAACTTATGCTAAGTGGTGTGATATTGATTAGTTATTATGGATTAACCAGATAGAGAAAATCTGTTATTTATTTATTTTAAATTTATCACCATGAATTTTAGTATTTACTTAGTAGTATTACGTGAATTTCTGTAACATGATATTTTTCAGTACCTTTGGTATTTTTTAGTTTAGCTTACGTTTATCAATACTAACTATAGACTGTAACTAAAAACTGAGTGAACAAAAAGTGAACAATTGAACATACTGGATCAAATAGTTCAGATGTATTCTGTTTTATTAAGTAGTTAGTAGGTTATTTATATAATCATATTGTATTATTACATGTACATACATTGGATGCCATACTGTATTACATTTATTATGTTTCGAACGCGACTGTCCTCAAAAAGCATGTCGTCAGAGATAGGCATCTTAAGTAAACTGGTGTAGCGACGACTAATGTGCGCTGTTGATGCATGTTGTCAGATAAAATATGTTGTGTAAGTGACAAGTGGGAGCGACTACTTAAATGAGACGTTCCAATTATTCTTGTTAAAATATTACACCGAAGGATGAAACAAACTGATGATGACGAAGTTTTCCAACATCATTGATATGCGAGATATTTTTTTATACAACTTAGAATGGCAAACAAGCTGACGGCCCACCTGATAGAAAGTGGTAACCGTCGCCTATAGACATGAGCAGTACCATAGACTTAACAGAGTATACTGTTTCGCCCATGATACCCCCCATGCGTTGCCATTTCTGAGGACTCAGGTGTTATTCCTCTGTACCCTGTAAATTCACGCCATATCCCACCCTTCAAACCGAAACACAGCCATGCAAACACAACTGCTTCACGGTAGAAACACAAATGGGACAAAGGTACCCAAGCAATCGACTTTTGTACAAAGTCTCCCTCTGGTAAAGTAAAGGTAAAGTTAAGGTTTCTAAACATAACCTATGTCTATTGCTATCATAATTTTGGGCAAATTAGTAGTTAAAGATAAATAAGCCGTTTCAGAAAGTTGTAAAAAGTAACAGTAAACTACTACGTAAGGAAAACTACATTCTGAAAAATTAACCTATTAGACGAAAATTTTATTGTGTCAATAAGAAATAGAACGTGCAAAATGGCTATGGTTGCGATTGCGTTGCGTATATCGATTGCTTATTTTTTATATGGCAGTTGATTTTTTTTGTTACAGCACAATATTCTTTGACAACTGTATTTATGTTGTTGCTAATTCTAATTCGGTTTATAATTTATTTCTTGCTTTTGAAATTTTGATTAAGTCCGTAACTTTGTAAAAAAATCAAATAAGTGTTATAATATTATTTTCCACTAAGCATTATTATAATACTGGCTAAACGCTCATTGAACAGTTTTATATTTGTAGCTTATTACAACGTGCATATGTATAAATAATGACAGACTTCCATTTTCTTAAATGTAATAGGGATCGTGACATCTAATATGTATGTATTATTTTATGGTTGCTATCAAATATTACTGTTGCGCAATCCTATTTTACGTTTCTTTGACAATGAATCGGTAAGTTATTGCTTACATGCTCATATAATTGAAAATAATTAACTAATGTTAAGGAATTAATTTAATAACCTTATAGTCGATTTTAAGTAACTAAATACTTTGCTGTCTTAACCATAAAACACTTCAAAGTAAATACTAAAATTTCACTGTTAATCACATATATTATTAACATTACGTAGATGAGATATATTTTGTAGTGACTAAATTATATTATGAAGACTATATTTAACTTTTCACTCCTTATATACTGAGCTATGAGAAAAATGCTATGCAAAAGTTCAGATAAAAGTAAATATAGAGAGCTATTGCGGAATATGGTTCACTTCCTAGTATTTATGTTATTTATTAAATAAATATTTGTTTTAAAACGTTGAATTGGCTTAATTATATTTAGAAAATAAAATTTACAATACAATAATAAAAAGGTTTAATAGCAAGGAAAATAAAATATATGTCTATTAGTATGACTATTATAAAACATAAACGAAAAAGACATTCTTCAACAGAGCTGTGCGGTGCGAAAATATGCAGGATATAGATACAAGTACATAATAAATATTTACGAATTTTTACAAATTATCCACTTACTGATTATCCTTGTGATCCCGGCATAGAATAGGTTACCCCTTCCTTTCTCGTGGGTGTCGTAAGAGGCGACTAAGGGAGAGCGAGGGATGAACAGCAGCGTCCCTCTAAAAACATCTCCAAAGCCTAACTGTACTTGCCAATCCACCTGCCAAGCACGGCAACTACTGGCAAAACTCTCCAAGGGGGAGGCTTATTTTCAGCAGTGGACAGTTAAAGGACGATATAATGATTTACTTACTAAATAATATATAAAATTTTACTATATTTTAAAGTATATACAAAATGTTACTACATTACTTAACATGTACAAACAAGATTGGTTTTCTGTGTTCGTTTTGCGCCTGTGTTCACTATGTCCTTACTTTACTCTTTTGCTTTTTTATCAGTAATTACGAACGGTGAACATTAAAGTTTTGCTGGACCACGGCAGCGAATATAAATCGGGTGTTTCATGAAATATCGAGTCGCAGCCGAGGGCTACGCGGCACGAACGCGTCGCCCTCCCTTATCTTTACCGATACGATTTTATACGATATTCGATTTTTCTCTTTTTGACTTTTATGGATCGCTTGTTCGCAGGGTATCGATAATTCAAGAGTGCTCTTTATGCTGTAACATAGACTACGAATATTTGTAAATACATACAATTAAATCTCTTGTAGTCTATCGACGATGATACACACTTCTCAAAGACAGTTTAATTAGTTATAAAATCATTTTAGAAATAAAAATAAAATAGATAATATGATTATTGTGATCAAAATACAAAATAAAAATTAATCTATTTGAGATTGCTTGGATTACATCGGAACTTATTTCCCGGCATAAACCAGTTTTAAGTCGCATTTATAAGTACACCGGTTTCATAACTGGCTACTTTATGCTATTGTAATGATCTAGGAGCTGCCGCTGCCAACAAAAACTCTAGCATTGTTTCTATACTTGTTACCGTATACGGTCAAGTATTTTATCACTTCGCGCGTCCTCTTCGACACTTCCGAGAAAAAGTAAGTCGGTTTGTATTTATTTATTTCTTTCCGACCATAAGTCGCATACTAGTGCTAGGTAAACAGAACTGTGTCGTGATAATTTGTACCTACTAACCGCAAATAAACTTTTAGTTTCTCAGAATATAAGCTCAGAAAATAATAAGTATGTACTTATTCCCAATCTTAGCTATATTTTTTAGTTCGACACTGAATTTAATTTTGACCAAAGTCTATTAACCGACTTGTTACTTATTTATATGAAAGAAAGCTAAAAAAAGAATATTCCTATTTATGAATTCCTGTTGTGTACACATTTTCGAAAAAAAATCGCAGAGGATTTATTCATAATAAGTATTGGAGAGTAAAATAATATTAAAGGATTTTATAACTTATTGCCTTCATTTTACAGCACTTCTTTGATTGTAGATTGTCGCATCCATGTTCAGAATATAACATATCGCTTTAAAATTTTATAAAATGCCGTGTTTGTTGCTTGAGGGTTGAGGGCACGATCGATTGAGTTTATGATGGGTATTTTTTATTATTTTATGTTAATACACTAACAGTTATGAGTATATGGATAAAATTATGTACCATTTAAATGTTGTTACATGTATATACATGATATAACATATGCTACTATGAAGAAATATCAACTACTGAAAAACCCCCCTTCGATGATGAGGGAGACCTATGTTCAGCGGTGGACAGTTAACAGCTGATAATGATTAAAAAATATAATTTTTGTGTGCATTTAATATATAAAGTATTTAAATTTCATTTAGCTACCTTTATAACCCTTTCACTATGCAACATAACTTCTATTTATTTTCATAAGTAGTCTCTATATTTTTGCTGCATCAAATATTATATATATATATATATATATATATATATATATATATATATTCTTATATAAACGTTTGCCAAGCACCAGTTGGTAAGTGTAGTATAAAAAAAATCACAGTAGGTACAATAAAAAAAGGTTTCATAAAAAGGCTTCTCAAAACATAATCAGATCAAATGTAAAAACCTTACTAACCCGGATGTGTTCGTTGGTAACATTATAGGTGCGCTAAACTTATATTTTGATGATAATATCATGTGAATCAGTGATCTGTCAAATTGGCAAACAGAGCTGGTATGTCTGTTATGTTGAACAGTGCTACTAGCAAAAAATTACGACTACAGGAGTTTGTTTAAAAAAAAAGATTCAGGACGGGTAGTGTTGGCATTTGTTTTCGTGTCATAACTGGTCGCGGTGAGGTTCGTTACACGTTGGTAACGCTACACGAGCAACCGGACACCTGTTGCGTGTTGCGTGCGAGGTGGCCGACTTCCCTTTTCTCCCACTGGATGGCTCGTCAATATTATCAAAACATCTATCCTTTTATCGAATATACCATATAAAAAATAAGATCCCGTAACCTGAGTTTAATGTATATTTGCGTTAACACTGCGTTAGCGTTAGCATCGATAATTCGTATGAAAGTTAAGCTGCGTATCTATCAGAAGTTTCGGAACTCACATATTCATATAAATTTAACAACAGCTATGTGGCGACGTATAAAAGTAGTCGTAACTTAAATCTTGGTACAGTTTACACTAAAGAGTGATTAGAAAACGTCAACTTCAACGTCAGACACGGTTATTATTGTTACGTGGCACTGTTCCTAAACTTATTTTCTAAGTCTCTATGCTATGCTACCCGAGACCTCGATTTTGCGTACCAATTATTCAGTTAAAGAAACTTGCTGGTTTCTATAATGGCATCTAACTACATTGATTGAACATCTAAGTACATTGATTGAAGTACGGTTCCAATTACTACTTCGGAAACGACGTTTTAATCCAGTAATAAGATTTAAATACGTATTTATTTTTATTAATTTCTATGTCATTTCCCACGTAAATTATAATAAAAAGTGCCCTATATATCAATCCAGAATATGATACATCTATATACCAAATTAAATTCTGTTCAGTTGTTAAAGAGTAATTAGATAACATATATACATACAATCGTCTAAACATCTTTACAAACTTTTACATAATGTTAATAGTAATAATATAATTTCATATAGTATTAATAGGATAATAGCATAATTTAATAATGCCTTTTGCCAATGCGAACACTTGTATTTTAGTCGTATATTTTCGCTTATTAATATTAGGTTGCAGAACTTTAAAAATAATACAGCATAACCATCTAATCGTATCGCTCTGCCCCCGTTCCTAAATCCACCATGCGGCGGAATGCCGGAGAACGAGTTTTCTATCCATCCTTCTCATTTCTACGGCATTACTGTATCTGTCCTTGTCGGTTGCTTGTCATTTTCTATAAGTTTTTCTAACATTCTCCGCTTGCACCGCCCCCTCCGTTTGGGCCTAACGCCTGTCTTTTGAACGATAACTTTTGTTTGTTCAACAGTTATGACTATTATTTAAGACATTGATGTTTGTAACGCTTGGTTAAAATCAAGTGTTTACTTATCATTAATGAAGCTCTATTGCTCATCATGCTAATGATTTTGTATTCATTGAACGCGCAAGAATTATTTTAGAGGTTCATTTGAACTCATCAATATTTTTCTGTTGCTTTAGACTTCATAACAGATTATACCAATCACACTGATTCTTTACCTACTTTAATTTTTATTAAAGATATTGAACAGTAATATATATAACATAAACATTATCAAACAATTATGTTAGTCAATATACATTACGAACATATCATTTTAGATAATGCTGGAACTAATAAAACGCGTCATTGTGTTGGTGTTAGTGGAGGCTGAAATCTTAATCTAAGCATACCTCGTTCGCTGGTTGCTTAATGCTAACGAGTTACAAATTAAAAGAGACCGAGACGTGTGCCAAAGGTAACTTTATGGGCTTTGCATGTTTTATATCAATAAATTATTAACTACGCTCCTTGTTTGATTTTACATTCATACTCACTATTTGTCACGTTAAAATATACTTTAACCCTTTTGTCGATAGTCCAAAATAGGATACGTGGATAAAAATAATGAACGTTGAAATTTAATCCTTAACTCTTGGACTTAATACTTAATTTGTAATGCTATGTGTAGAGATGAGTGCTTACAAATAGTAGCAAGTAAGCAGGTATTTGAGCATGAGCGAGGTGAGGCGAGAATATTTAGTTTTAATTAATACGCTGAATCCTAGGCACGGGGTATTCGCTATTTTCAATTAGAACTCGGCGCCGGTAGCATGTTTTGAGCTATGTGATTTAATGAAATTCTGCATTTCTCACATAATTAATGTTGTATCGTGAATTTTGCTCTAACCGAGGTCAGGTTCATGTCGCGAGCATTATTTCAGTTTATCGATAACAAGTTCGATGTACATAAAGATAGAGATTATTGTATCTAAAATACACATAAATAAGTACATAGCTTATCTTATTAATAAAAATAAATACTCTTTGATATTGATAAGCTGAAAATAAGTTTATGATTAGATGATCGTAGTCTGTAGTGGCTTAGAGCATCTTGTCTATTAAAAGTTGGGATTAACTATTTTGAGTATCCTTCCAAGAAATTTATTTAGCATGTCATCTATGGTCATCTATCAAATATAAAATATATTCCTTCAATGATAACTCTGATAAGTTCGGATATTTTTCTTGTAATGATAAATTCTGATGAACAGTTTCTATCTAATATCTAATCATATTAATGTATAAATTTATGATGCCAATAATACAACGAAAATAACAGTAAAGTATCTTTAACTTGTATTCCGCGGCATCTGGCGTTAATTAGTATATAAAATCCCCTGCATGGGAAACTAACATGAAGTCTGTTCATATTTTTGTATTTAATTTCAAGTTTATATAGTTTTAGAATAACCTGGTGAGATCCGTTGTAGTTTCTACTTTACATTAGTGATTGAAATATATGCTTATGATCATATATAATAATAATAATAATAATATTTATTTAAGAAAGATACAGTTGCATAAGGTACAATTTACAATTTTTACAATTTATATTCAACGAGAAAATATCTGCATTACCATTAGTCCCCAAACTAGGCCAGACCTGTATCTTGGGGACTATGAGTGCGATTACCTATTTAGTACACTTTATTTACAAAAAAAAATTAAATAAAAAATAAATAAGGAAAACTATGTAAAAAGGTGAGTACGTGTGTGCGTGCGTGAGTGCGTGCGTATATAATAATATATAATAATAATGAATAATATATATATATGTATATATATTATTCATTATTTCAGATTTATTATTTCTTTTATTACTTTCATAGGATATTAGATAAGCTCTATATCAAATATTTAATTAAACAATTTGTTAATCACCGCATCGTGGGATTTTAAGTAATATGTTTTCTCTAAGGTCTTTTTTTTATATCAGCTGTACATAGAATTTTAGTTTTTAAGTGGAAACTCACTATTAACCGAAAACCTGTTTATACGAGTATTCGATGTATATTTATATACAAGTTATAAATTGTTACATAAAACTAAATTAGTTTTTATTTATATTACTTATTTTTCCATTAAGTAATAAGTAAATAGATTCAATTAATGGAAAGTGGTAAATTTCTACAGATATTTGGTGTAAATAGTCTATTATATGCATTATCGTTACCGTTTCTTATGACTTTATAATTTCTTGATTATTACAGATTGCAAGTTTCTATATAATGTTATATTTAAAACAGGTCTTAATATTTAATTATAAAATTACTTATCTTTACATAACAATGTAAATATACTTGTATCGATTAAGTTTATTTAAATAAAAGGTAAAAAGAAATATAATCTACACCAACAATGATTGGTAATCTTACAAGTACATAATATATACTTTAGAATTTAGATAATATAATTTACTACTTATATAATTTTCACTTTTACCTAAACTGATTTTGTTGTTTAAGTAAGTAAAAATTATTTACCATATATTGATGTTTACTTTAGATGTAGCACGGTAACATTCTCGATAATTCATAAAAACATTTTATTCTTGTATGTGGCAATTAATAATTTTAATTGGAGGTAGAAAGATAAAAAAAGTTTTGTCGTTGTCGCTCTTAAAAATATTTAATAAGTAAAAGATTTAATTTCACAATCGTGAGACTTTAATTTTAGAATTTAATATTTTTTGTTTTATAAAATGAACTACGCAAAAAATAATTTCTCGTGTCGTTCTTAAAATATTTAAAAAGACATTTTCAAGATTAAAACGTCTATCGGAGGATTACAGATCGAAACCCTTGGTTCTTATGACATTTACGAGGTAATCTCAGGTAACTTTATCATACTTTAGGGAACTGAGTGATCTGAGTATGTTATAAAAGGAATTTACGCTAATCAAAGGGTAAGTCACTTGAACTATGTTTGAATCTAGGTAGTTTAGTAGTACTTTTAAAGCAACTTGTCGGTTTTCGCATACTCGAATCTATATAAAAAACTTGTCATACATACAGTCCACTTATATTCTCGCACAATTGATGTTAATCATATAAATTTAAGTGTAAGTAACTAAGTATAAAAAAATTTACCTAAAATATTATACTAGATTATTGAACTATGATAAAGTGGGAAGAAGAAAAGCAATAAACGTTTTTATAGTCCAACTATGGTCCAAGTAGCATTTTTCTGACAAGCTGTCAGAAAAATATTGCTTTATTATATGTTTAGAGTTCAGTAAGCGTATCTATATATTTCAGGAATATAATAATATTTTCTGGAAATAATAATAGACAAAAATATATAGTTACTATTTTTAATTCTACGTGTTACATACATATACGTATTAAAATAGAAATATATGTAAATATGCACGTAGTCACCAAGTTTTAATTAGTGTTTTCATAGTAGTTTATAGAAAACAACATAGCTATAAGAGCATACAAATAACAATAAGGGTTTTTAAATATTCATTTCAATGTAATATGTGTTGGTACTGGTACTGAACTACAACGACTGTATCCGGTATTTAACTTTTATTAGGTTCTTATGTAAATAATTTCATTCTTTTAAAATTTAGATAAACATGAATTAATCTTTCCATTTTTTAGTTTTAATTGTATGTACTTTGCCTAATAATATTTTATTTAAAATTTACACTACACATTGTAAATAATTATAATAGTAATTATGAATGTTATTGCATTTTATTCTGTTACATTTTAAGTATGTGTATTATTTATTTTAAATTGGCGAAATAATTAGTAGATACTTTCACAATATGTACAAATACGAATGAATAATAGATGGAAAGTCTTGTTGTTGCTAGTCAAAGTTTAAACTCCACGTTAAACTAATTGTTAACCTCAATTTGACAGCGCGAAATAGACACTCGTGACTACTAATCAGCAAGATAATGACAACCTAATCGAAACTTGACCATTACTTAACTCGAGTGAAGCAGTAGTTAAAGTCGGTTAGCGCAGTAAGTTGCAGATTCTCAGCGGGTATGTTATCCGAGAGTGGCTTCCGGCGGCCGCCCGCGCTTTCACAAAGCCTATCGAATTGCCTATTAAGTCCGTTCATAACTTATACATACTATTTATTGATAGCCATTTCCGAGTCATGTTTATTTATGATATTACACATCTTTTGTTCTGCCATATTCCCTAATTGGAATATTTTGAAGAAAGTTATTTTAAACGGTCGGAGATGATGTTGATATGTACACCTGTAAATGTAATTGATGTATTTACAACAGGTATTTAAAAACTAATATGACGACCAACAAATCATAAAAACAGCACAATACAAAAATTGTGACTCAGTGCAGGTACCGGATTCAAAGTAACGTCTATGGCTTTAAAATTTTACAATGGTCATATTTTATACAGAATTAACTGTACTTACTTTCATTCCTGTTATAGAATGTATTTCCAAGGAATAATGCACAATGCCAAAAGAACTAGAAATCGTTTCACTTTGCACTCTACTATTAAATTTTATAATTTCATTATCAATACTTCTATTAAAAATATACCCATATTTATTAATATCGGTATAAACGTAATATAAAATATTAGTGAATTTACTTCCCTAATGGGAAGTAAATTCATTAATATTTTATATTACGTTTTAACATTATTATGACATTAAAATTATATGCTGTTGTTATTATAAAGGCATAAAAAATAAAAGTTAGAAAGATATTCTAAGGATGGACACCAAAATTGGTTTTTTAATCAAAATGCGTGGTCATTTCAGAAATTTATTGCATCATCGATACGTTAGTGTTTGTTTCCTCCATCGGTCGGCAGGTAACATATTTCTTATGCAGCGGGGGGTGTCTGGGGGCATCGAAAGCGGAGGCGTAGCGAGCTATGCACGGGAGTGCTTCTCTGACGGTACAGTAGGTTAATAACGTAGTTTGAATTTAGTGAACACAATCTTTAGCAACATAATGTACTAGTAACGTAAAAGTTTGTAAACATTTTTAGATATTTGTTAGTCAATGATGCTTAAACAGCTAAATATAATGCACTATGTACGAGTATATATCCTGGATTAATATGAAAGCCATTTACATTTCCTGGTAAATCGTTTCCATGGTATAATTAATAAATCAACATCCACGCAGCGAAAACGTAGACAAACTTATTTGTTAATAAAATGTTATTTGGGACTCCTGATGGCATATGTTTTTATAAAGGATCTCCGTAAATTATGTTAGGGTAGGTTTTACCTGTATCCTCGTAGAATCGATTAGGTGCGTTTTAAAGATATTCTTGGCCGAGTTCCATTCTCGTACCAGCTTTTGTCGCTTGATTGCTTTTTGATGTGGCGATAAATGTGACTTATGTGGTTTCGGCTCGACGGCGAATACATTTATGATAATGACAGGTTTCTGCAGTTTAGGCGTGCACCGTTTAATGTGTGAACGTTATTATTATGTTTTTACCATTCTACTTATGTAGACAGATGTAATTTGGGAAAGCATTTAATTTTGTGTTTACAGTTGTCATATGTTTGATGCATTTTTATATTAAGGATAAATACTGTGAGGTATGAACGATATAGCATATTAACAATGACGTGTTAGAGCTAAATGTTGAATAATTTTATTAATAATAAAGCATAGATTTATTTAGAAATATAAATATAGTAACTACTTTCATTCAATAAAAGGTTCAATAAAGGAGGGATTATGTGCCGCATTTTGAGTTGTTATGCTAAGCAAAAAAATATTTGTGTTTATAAACCTTAGGCTTAAAGCCAACTTTTTAATGAATGTGTATGAAATATTTGTATGACAATTTTTGTTTCATTTATGGTAACTATAATATAATATTAATTACATTTAAATGTGTTTTCAGGTACGTCATCTCAACAATATACATAATGAAATAAAAAAGTGAGTATTTAGTAATAAACAGAATATTTTAATGACACGTCTGGCAAGTCATTACATTCTATATACGAGATAATCACAAAACACTTATGAAATAAAAGGAATTTTAATTTACCGAAGGCAAGGCTCCATTCCTACATGCCAGCATGCCCTCGGATAGATCGACTCAACCTAGATCGCCGTTGGCAAAGCATTCAGCTACTAGTCAATCTTGGGCAGGCATGCAGCGGCCATCTTGCTCGGATGGACAGACGGACGGACAAGAAGACGCTCCGGTTGTAATTGCAAAGCTATTCGCCTCTAGCTGTTTTTCTAATATGCTGAGATCTTGCACAATTGCTCCAAACAGCTACTCCACTAGGATATTTATTAAAGAAAGATAATAGATCAATAACATTAAAGCTTTAATTATATTGAAAATTGCACATCAAGTTACGTATTGAAAAAAAAACGATTAATTGGTACTTGTAGTTTCTACATAAAATGCTTAGAAACGTATATTAGTTGTAATTAATATCCATTTGCATTATCGTTACATTCCACAATCAAATTGCTTCGATTAGAATCCTAATAAGAAAAATATGATAAGTGAAACCCATTATATACAGACGATAATACTTATCAATGAAATGAATTATGCAATTCAAAGATGTTTCTTAGTTTTTTAATACACGGACAAGATTATTCATTAAACGAAAAATAACCTTATGGAAACGCACCGATAGTAGTATATTTTGATAAAATATTAAATTAAACTATTTTTTTCTATATAGTGTATTTAGGTGTTATAAAATATTTATAAAATCCTAAGTATCATGTCAGGCACGTTGCAGTCCATAAATGGGTTGTAATTTGCGGCGCATGTGCCCCGTTTTTGCTGCTGTGATTACAGTCGCGACTATCTGACACCGGTTTTTGCTACTTCCGAACGATGCATTAGAAATGTAAGTAGCTGCTTCAACAAAGTAAGAAACTCGATAAATTTCTTAAAAACACAATTCGTATACATATTTAATTGCTGAGATGTTAGGTTGACATACATTAAAATATATATCATCGATCACACTGTAGCAACCTGTCTCACCATTGAACTCCCCTTCTTTGTACACTTTGGAAATGAAAAAATAAAAATCATAATACATATTTACTACGTTAACCAAGTGGCAAACATGCAGTGGTTTCCTTCGTTTGCACTGACGTTTTAAGTTTTGTTCCTTTACTCAACTATAACGACATCTTGGAGTATTCAAGTATTTAAGTCGCCAAACCCATATGGAGTATCAATATGGGTTTGGCGACTTCTTTTATGCATAATATATATTTCTAAATTATGTAGTAGGTTTATTTATGTTTTTAAAATTATTTAAAACTATCGGTTAGAAGACATTAGGTATAGAGATATTGATATGTGTTTAAATATATTTATACAATACAGTATTATTTGCGTATTCAATTAACCCAATATTTTTTTTTATAAAGTAACAATTTTCAAATGTTTATCACCACATATTTATATTTAATACAGTGCCACCTTGTATCTATGAAAGTACTTCAAAGGTTAAGCAGGAAATTGTCAGATCCTCGGAATTGTTAGATCAATTAATGTTATAACTAAATGCAATCAGACCATTTCTAAATATGGTCGTAGCATTACTTTCGAGATTTCCCAAACTAGACTGTAGTAAATTCAATCCACTTTTGCTATAGCAAACTCTAAATTAAGAATCAAAGGACATTTATCATGTACCTTTCGGAACAATGAGAGTCATAATTTATGTGTTATGCTTTTCTAGCCCACACAAACCCTCACATTCTACTATGTGATATGTAGGGATTTTGAATGTTTGACATTATTTATGTCATCTTCTACGTGAATGGTATCAATGTTTATGTAGGTATGTTACACGACTAGATCAAAACCATCACCTTCGTCGTTACATTACGGAAAGTAATAAAATTTATTCGATTCTATGACTAATATCTATCTTATAATATTTGTAATAACATAGTAACTTATATAATTTACTTTTTTATGTATATAATTTTAATGTTACTTATTAACGAAATTTATTACTTATCGTAAACTATTACTTATTAGCTTGTTATATATATATATATATATATATATATATAAGAGATAATATATATATATATATATATATATATATAAGATAAGATATTATTTTTAGTTTCTGTTTATTTTTTAATGGTTAAATTATGTATACAGCCTTGTTGTAGTTACTATAAATCAATATTAATTTCTCTAACCTAAACACAGCCCCATAACATGTGTTAAGGGGCTGTGGCCCCTTAACACACCCCTTAACCTTATTATATTAACGTATTTAACTTCCTTCACTTCATCGGTTTTGACTACTTGTTCCGGTAAGCAGCTTACAACTTAACTAGTAAGATAATCTACCTGTTACTTATTTATATATCTAATTGACACAAATTAAAAATTACATAAGATCGTCAAGATTGACGGGTATAGTTTGTTGATAGTTGATAATAAATAATCACAGGTATATAAACTTATTATCTACCAGAATAAGTCTTTATAAAGCAAAGGCCGGGCATTCCATAACTATATGTTGTTAATCTGTGTTTACCACAATGCAAAAATCACAGTTTGTTGAAGTCTTCGATTAGTAGGAATGTTCGTGGCCTAGTTTGATAATAGATAATCTTTGCTACTTTATATTAACATTTGGTAGTTCATGAATTAAAATTTGTCCTTCATAATTAAAGTATAGTAATAACTGCTTAATGGTGCTATTGATTGAAATTTGAAAACAGTAGGTCCATCGTTAATTAATAGATGGAAAGTAATATTGAACACGTGTATTTGTGCAAAGGAAATGAATTGCTTTATCTGGTTCAATAGAAACGTGATTTTGTTGTCGTTCTTAAATTACCGATTTCGTTTGTTTTAAGAGGTAATGCTACTTTTAATATGATCGTTAGCAGAGTCGGAAGTCATGAGCTAGTTTCTAATAACATGTAAAAGTAATGCGGTTAGGCTGTGAGAATAAGTAGCTGCTACACTTGTATGGGGGGTCCGTAATTTGATTGATGAAAGGCTCAATCACATGATTAATCTTTAAATAAATAAGTCAATATTTTTATAATAGTGCGCTCATTATATTTAATAGTATAATGATAAAATTAAACATTGAATTATATTTAATAGCATTTAAATGATATGACCCTGAATAATAAATGAACTTTATGCTAAATTGACAACATTGTAACATGCAAGGGTAGATAGTAGTAAAATATAGATATAATATATCCATATGTTATATTTTTTAACAATAAAATTATTTTAGCTAATATAAATGTTAATAATTAGAGTAATGATGATCTTGATATGTTACAACTTCTTTTTTACTTAAGGCAGTTTAGTAAGTAGCAGTATTTTAATATAATATAAACGTCATCGGAAAAGTTTTGAAATATCAATTGATTGTTAATTTTACTTAAGCATTCTTCATGTTTTTCTTATCCTTATTAATCGTTTTTAATATTATAAATATAAAAGTGAGTTTATCTGTTTATATATTGGTATATACACTACTATATGAAGTAAAGAAAGACATAGATTTTTTCCTCATCAACGATTATGTCTCGGTCACGCGGGCGATGTTGTAGGTAATGGAGTTTTTTTTTTTATCTTAAAATTATTGGCTAATGTATCAACGTATTTTATTTTGAATATGGCTAAGAAATATTTGAGTGAGTAACCTGAAACTGTTTTGTATATTTTATGCTGGGCTGGCGGGCGATAATTTCGATATGAACGTCGGAGCTCGGTCGTCTCTGCTGGCTAACGTGGCACTTATGATTTATAATCTGGCCCCCGACGGGTCCCCTCTTCTGAGAGACAGCGGTCTTGAAAATAATTTTGATTTTAAATTGGAAGCAAGTTATTAAACTTGGGTTTTATGTGATGGGACATTGTAAATGATTGGCGGTTAAAATGCGCTGGTGACCACTCCGCCTCGCGATATACTGTGCCACTAGAATATATCTCTGTAAATGTGAATCTATGAATGTATTTTTATTAAAAAAATATCTACTGAATACATCTCCATTTCTTCGATACATCTCCAGATTTTATTTTTATATAATATTCTTTATTATTTTAGTTTTAATATTAAAATACTTATGGTGTTGCTTTATAAACGACGAGTTTCAAACGCTCAGTTGAAACATAACTTGGCGTTTGCTCTCTTGCCACTTAATTACGACAGTCACGCTTCAACTGAGAAAATCTTTTGTGCTCTTTTTCCGACCGTTGAGAAATGTAACAAAATGGCTCGGAGATTTTTTTCTCCGAAATGAGTTTTAGTGTCACGGCTGGGACCGGCGACGGTTAATGAGAAGCTTTGTGATCGCTGAGCCAGTCGGCCCTGTGTCGAATTGTCCACGAAATGTTCTTTAAAGTTTTAATTTATAATGAAAGCTTCAAAAGGGTTGTAGAGAAACTACAGAGGATTTTCCTATGTACTATAAATAAGTCGTGTAATAAAAATATAAGTAAGTTATTTCGAACTCACAAGTGACTTTTGGAGTAGTTAAAAAATGATTTTTGTCATTTGTTTATTTATGCTCAAAACTTGGTAACACGTTTCAACTAAATGTATTCAAACCTATTTAAGATTATAGTTTTCAAAAAAGCAAAATCCTCATATAGAACTGTACTTACCAAGTAGAAATACTTTTTATCTTCTATTATATTTTTCTACTTTTTTATTAACGTTATATTATTTGTTTGTATTAATATTACAATCTACGTTTGAGTTTTTATTACTCAGTCACATTTAAACCGCTAATCGAATTGTAATGAAATGTACATCACAAGTAAATAATATCTTAGAAAACTGTAGGTACAGTTTACAGAATAAATTACCATAGATTGATAATTTACATATATATGTAACTGTATAATACACATATTTACATATATAGATAACTGTTAATACTCGTAATAACAATATCAATGACATATATTATCACATCTTTTATATTTATTCCTTAGCTTAGAATGCTTTGTTACAGATAAATACAACGACTGATCCAAAATGCTTTAGTACCGGTCCACTTGTTGCTCGTGACTGACTAGCTACGGCGTGTCGTCTGAAACTAATTCCTTTGAGTGTGATGCCCTCTACAGTATAGACAGATCTTACGTTTCCTTATAAACGGTGTAAAACCAGTGACAGTAAGCCACACAATGTATTGATAGTTGATAAAGTCAGATAATAACGATTTGACAAGGATGATATTTTTGAACAATCACTCAACGAATTCGTTGTACCTTTCTCCATTTAGTAAATTTTCTCTTATATTGTGGTAGATACTTACACTATATACATTATATTTGTATATTTATACTGTTACCTATCTGTGTCAACTCACAATATTCACAGTACCTACGTGTTAGATAAGTACATATATTATAAGAGATTGAAACAGTTTGTAACGTATTCAGTAGGTGGGTGTAGAATCATAGGCAAAAGAGCTAATGTTCTGAACGTATCAGAATAAATATATCTTACTGTATTGGAATAATAAAGTTATACATTTATTACGTATTAAATTGTATAATATGGCTTGGCTCCCAGTGGCTTTGTTACTTTACATTGTTACACATATTCTATTGTGAAACGTAGTTTGATTCAAATTCATGATACTTAAATATGGTATCACAGTCAAGTTTGCGCTTTTAAATAAGTACCCAGAGGTTAAGAAAATCTCATACTTTTTATATACACATAAACAATAGTTATATGATTATAATAACACTCGACCTACTTATCCAAGAAATCTATCAGAACTATAACGGAGTACTAAAGATAACTGTTTAATAAAAGGAAATTGAAGTTTATATTTACAGTAATATCTTTAAGTATTGTACGTACCTTAGTTAACTATTTCAGGTTAACTGGTATCCATCAAAGGAAAATTCTAAGAAATTGGCCATTGTGTCGGTTTAGCTCATAATTCGAACTAGCTTAGAAGGATCGCTCTTTAACCCTGAGCTAGCTTCGTGATGTCGCCTCGACCCCAGGAAAATCTATTTTGCCCATCATAATCGTTGCTTTCAATTTACGGTGGCCATTCTATTACTTGATGTATGGCGTTATCTGTTTCCTGATTTTAGTTAATATATGAAATTGTTTAAATGACGGTCAGGTCTTAAGGTCAATATTGACCATAACACATTTCTTTAAACGCACTCTTCATTTATAGTCAACTTTCAAATAAAAGAGGTACTCGATTAATCTGTATTTTTTTTTGTGCTTCGTCGTTAATTGCAACAATTATTTACTCAACGATACAACCATCAACCCTATCGAGTGAACAAACAATCGTCGGAATTGACTTATTATATTGTGACAATTGAAGCTGTTGTTTTTCCTTGCAGAGAAAAATGCAAAGTAAAATCTATTTATAAACAAAGGATCACATTTTAGTTATAAATATTTCCAATTTGAGTAGAATATATACGAGGTCTGTCCGGAAAGTTCGTATAAAAGTGTTCTGGAATGCGAGAAAGAGGAGTGGGGAGGCCAGGTAAGCGCAGGACCCCTTCCTTATGTCCCTAACAATGCTTCAGTTCTGGTCTGACCGCCGTGCGGTGCGAACTGGCTTGTCACGCCATCTGTGAAGTTACCTCTTAACGAAACCCCGTCGGCATGGAGCCCGCTTCCGTTGAAGAGCAGCGCGTCGTAATCAAGTTTCTCTCGAAACTCGGCAAGAATGGCCGTGAAATTTTTGCCGATCTCAGAACAGTTTATGGGGATGATGCTGTGAAGGAACCAACCGTCCACAAGTGGCTAAAAAGATTCAGAGAGGGCCGAGACAATGTTGATTGTTTTTTTCGATGTTCGGGGGATTGTCCATCAAGAATTCGTCCCTCCAGGCCAGACAGTTGATGGAAAATTCTACGTCGATGTGCTCAGACGCCTCAAAGCTCGTGTGGCACGAGTTCGTCCAGAATTGGCGCGAGAGGGGCGTTGGATTCTTCACCACGACAATGCCCCTGCCCACACCTCTCTTGTTGTCCGTGAGTTTTTGAGTAAAAATTCCATTACGGTGACCGAACACCCCCCCTATTCGCCGGATTTGGCCCCGTGTGACTTCTTCTTGTTCCCAAAAACCAAATTGGTACTTCGGGGGCGGCATTTGGGGGACATAAATGAGATAAAAAAAGCTACGACGGGGCAGCTGAGAAACCTACAACCAGAGGACTTTCAAGGAGCCTTCTCACAGTGGAAACGGCGTTGGCACAAGTGCATTATGTCACAGGGGGAGTACTTTGAAGGGGATAAAATTGATTTACCTGAATAATTGTAAAATAAAATTTTTAAAAAACTTTTATACGTACTTTCCGGACAAACCTCGTACTATACAGTTCGTGATATTTTTTTTGGCGAATGTATTTGTGTTATTTTAATAACGCGTGTCAATGGATCATTTTGGTGGCGTATAGGGTTGTATGGTAACAGTGTAGAGACCGTGTACCATCTACATTAAATAATCACAGAAGCATTTTAATATAGCCGGGAAGTATGGAAACCTTATCAATAAGGCAACGGGGAGTCCGATCATATCGTTCGCTGAGCATTGGAATACTGTGTCCGACGCGGACTTACAAATGTGCGTGAATGCTCTTCAGTTGTTAGGAAGAATATTTTTTTTTGCATTTTTTTACTTTTTTCTTGTAATAAATATATTGTAATATTTTAACACTAATAAAGATATGGCATTTACCATATATTTTAGTTCATGAATGCATAATGTGATTATTATTACTTTATGTTTGATTGTTTTATTTGTTTATACTCTTTAATTTGCAACAAAAGCTATTTTTAGGAAAATTCTTTGTATCTGCATTCCGAATAGGCAATAAAATAATAAAAAAATACTTTTCAAAAATGATTATAATTAGGGTTAGTCAAATAAAAAAAAATATCCTTAATAATTTTTAATTAATTCCTATCTACAATATTTTGTATAATATAAAGAGAAATATAAAACAGTTTTGTACTTCTAGAATATAGGCCCAGAAAATAGTTGTATATACATTATACCTTGCTTGCAACAAGAGTATTGCTAAGTATCTCATTTGTGAATTATCAATTTTACCCAACTTCGAAAATAAGAAGAAGATGATTTAAATATCTGAACTGACGACTTAAATAACTAAACAAATTTGAATGATAGTTGGTACTTTACATATACATAAAGCAGGAAAATTATCGATTTATGATAACAGAATGTACATTTAAAGTAAAATAAATTTATACAAAGTTACATTTAATTGTGAATACAATTCACTTTATCATTACAGCTCACTTTTCCTCAAGAAGAAAACGTTCATATCAGGGTACTATCTTCTTACCAACTTAGTAAGTGAATTCCATTGACTGTATTTCTCCAGAAGTAGCAAGTTAAGTTGAAACTGTTTTTATATAACTCACTGGTAACTACGGGTATTTGTACAACATTATTATCTGTATTGGATATTACAGCCAATGTTTCCAAATTTATTATGCTTTTAATTTATCTTTGCTAACTTATAATAGTTTTCAACTCTTTTAAGAAGAAGTAAGCATTTATTTAACTATAGTAGTATTTTACTTTATAATACATAAATATAAGTTTATATGACTTATATTAAAGTGAACAGTATGACCCAGTTTATTTTAAACGGTACATAATTATTTTGCTCTATACTATACCAGTTATTTGGCGAATCTACTAACGTTGTAAAGAACATACATACAATGTATGCACTACTGCGTATTATTAAGAAAATGGTTGAGGTGCAAGTTATAAACGAAACTTTTTAATTTTACGGTGCTATCTCTTACCGAAGGTTGGCGGACATAAGGGCGATCTTTACTTTATTTACTATGATTCTGAAAAAGCTCATTTCGAACCACTGCCTTAGATTTTTTAACCAGTAGATTCGGCGTCTTCTCGGTCATCAGTAACCTTGTATACGACACTAAACTTGTTAAAAAAATTTAACATAAAAAAATAACTGAAAGTCCAAAAAATCAAAAGTCTCGAGAAATCATATACGTCACGGGATAAGAGTAGTATTTAATTATTTCTTTTACAACTTGTATGTTTGACTAGTGAATCTGTAATAACACGATGACAGTGATTGTAAAATATTGGACTATTTAATTTTTAAATTCTCATATATGAGTATCTTTCTCATGAAATTATATAAACAGTTTAAGGGAAGTACTTGAAAATGTTAAATCTGAAATAAATAAAATTATCATAATATATTTATTTACTGGTACTATCTAGGTAATTTGTCCAATTTTATAAATTGCTCTATAGATAATTTTGCAACGTTGTGGCAATGATTTAAGTTTAATTAAGTTCACTTTATTTGCTAGTACCATAAAGTGGTTCCGTAAGGGATTATCAGTGCTACTGACAAACGTGTGATTAGGTAATTACAGTGGTCGAGTTCTACGGTAGCAAGGCTGCATATAAATTGCTCCATGTATAACATCTTTTAAAATAGATTACATTTGTTAATGACAATACTAATTAATGATTAGGCAATGTTACAGATTCATTCTTAGTCTATAAACAAAAAAGAATACTTAATAAACTAAAATTACTGGATTAAATGTTCAACTAAAAACTGTTGTTGTTTTATGTCTATAAAATTTTGAATATAATAACAAAATAAATAAAAATATATAAATTAACGTCACTAATTTGAAGATTAATATACGTATAATATAATTGAACATATCAATCGTCATCTTTTTATTTGTATTTTATCTATAGAATTATATTTATACGCATGTATGTATGTATATCAAATTTATAGTAACGGTTTACCTGCTTTACATATTTATGAAATATATAGAAACGCTATGTTCTTTTCACTTGAGAAACTGTCGTGAATTCTACAGTGGTTATAGTGGCAGAGTTCACACGCCACATTGCTATCACGAAAACCTATTACTGTCGACACACTTCTGTCCATCTAAATAATAAACAATGCAATTATTTATGTAGTTACCAGTTTAAATCGTTTAAATTGTTCTTAAATTCATACGTAACAAGCATAGTTTAATAAGACTTGTATTTAAAAATAACCATTTAAATATAATGACAATGAAAATAACATGTTTTACTATCTAGGGTTGTACCAGTGATACAATGTTTAGGTAATAATAAATGTT